ACAATGAGGGATTTTTTGACCGTCAGAAAATTGGTATAGAGAAGACGAAGGAAAAGCTAGCCGAGGAGGTCTGTCGATGCGAAAATCATGGACTCAAGCATGGGTGGACCAAGGCTCTACAAGGCGCGAGCGTGAATTCGGCGTCGCCCTTGTATTAGAGTTACAATTCTCCCTTCGCAGCTTACGAAGCCGAGAAGACCGACGACGAAGATGGTGCCGAATAATGTATTCAGGATTTGTTTTATATATTAGAAGTTACAAATTTAATGCACATTTAATGCAATTTATTGAACACATTGTTCTGTTTTGATGCAAATTTGATGCAAATTTAATGCAAATTATGTATTCACGATCTATTTAACGAAACATTTTATTTTGAATGTCTGTATATTGTTTCAATCAATGTTTGTAAATTAAGTCGTGACCTTCATCTATTACTTTGTCAATCGCGTTTGCACTTGCCAATTGTGAGGTCGACAAAGGGTGCTTCGAATTCAGAGGCTTATTCGGCCCAAACAGGTCATTCACGAATGGGGCTCCGAATTCGGAGGCTTTTCTTGGCCAATCATGATATCCACGAAGGGCGCTCCGAATTAGGAGGCTCATTCGGCCCAAATATGTCATTCCCGGATAGGGCTCCGAATTCGAAGGCTTATTCGGCCCAAATGTGTCATTCACGGATGGGGCTCTAAATTCGAAGACTTATGTCTTGGCCAATCATGACATCCACAAAGGGCGCTCCGAATTCGGAGGCTTATTCGGCCCAAACATGTCATTCACGAATGGGGCTCCGAATTCGGAGGCTTATGTCTTGGCCAATCGTGACATCCATGAAGGGCATTCTGAATTCGGAGGCTTATTCGGCCCAAACGTGTCATTCATGGATGGGGCTTCGAATTTAGAGGCTTTTCTTGGCCAATCGTGATAGCTACGAAGGGTGCTCCGAATTCGGAGGCTTATTCGGCCCAAACGTGTCATTCTCCGAATTCAAAGGCTTATGTTACCAAACCAAAATTCACAAAGCAAGGAGAAAAGAGGCATTGCATTAGGAAAATGAAAGTTATATATAGCAAAAATTCAAAGCAAGCTACCATGCCTACAAGTTGGGTTAATGATAAAATTTACGCAAATGCGTGGAATTCCAGGAACGTGGCAGACTTCTTCCAAACATGTCTTTGAGCCGATATGCCCCTGTGCCGACGATCGATTCAACCTGATAGGGGTCGTCCCAATTGGGACCTAACTTCCCAGTAGCGAAATTTCTAGTTGCGGGAAGCACTTTCTTGAGGACCAATTCTCCAGGTGTATAATGACGCAGTTGTATGCGTTGATTATATGATTTAGAGAGCTACTGTGCCATTGAAGCAAGGGCACAGTCTCAGCGTTCCTCAATCAGAGTCAAGTTCAATGCCAACATCATGTCATTACGGCCTAAGTCAAAAACCTTCGTTTTTAGAGTGGGCAGGCCGATCTCCAAAGGGATGATTGCCTGGGTTCCAAAGCATAGGTTGAACAGCGTTTCCCCAGTGGACCGCCTTGGTGTAGTGCAATGAGCCCACAACACACTGGGTAGCTCTTCGACCCATCTTCCTTTAGCTCTCTCTAACCTTTTCTTGATGCCGTCCAGAATGACTTTGTTAGAGGCCTCCGTTTGACCATTGCTTTGTGGATAGGCCAGCGAGGAAAAATAAGGTTGTATACCATACGTGATGCATAACTCTCGGTAAACGCCATAATCAAACTGGGAGCTGTTATCCGAAACAAGTGCTCTTGGTATGGCAAATCGCGTTATGATGTTTATCCATACGAAACGCTTAACATCAGTATCTCGAATATGTGTTAATGTCTCCGATTCGATCCATTTTGTAAAGTAGTCTGTCGCGACAATCAAGAATCGCTTGTTCCCTGGGGCCCGTGGCAATGGTCCGACGATATCAAGTCCCCATTGAGCAAACGGCCAAAGACTAATGATTGAACTTAACTCCTCGGTAGGCAAATGAGTTAAAGGGGAAAACTTCTGGTATTGTTCACATTTCTTGACTTAACACTCGACATCTGTTCTCATGGTCAGCCAATAGTATCCCTGTGTTACAACTCGATGGGCTAAAGAACTCTCGCCAGAATGGGCACCACAATTGCCTTCATGTATTTCAGCCAAGAGTTCCTCGACTTTATCCGGATGAACACCTTCCAGGTATGGACCAGAAAAGGATTTTTTGTAGAGCTTTCCCTGCAAATCCAAGTAGTATCACAGAGCTTTGTTTCCCAGTTTGTGTGCTTCTTTCTTGTATGTCGAGAGCGACTCGGAAGACAAGAATGTAGTGATAGGGTCCATCTAACTTGGACCTGGTTCAATGATGTTGATCTGAATTGATTCAGAAGAGGCAATGGTCAGCTCAAGGACGAATCCTACTTCAATTGTCCATTTAATTTCTGAGTTGATGGTGGAGGCTAGGCAAGCCAGGAGGTCCGCATGCGTGTTCTGATCCTGGGTTATTTGATTCAATTCATGATGATCGAAATTTCGCGAGTAAAGCATTCGCCATTTTCATGTAGGCTGCCATGCGGTCATTTTTTGCTACATATTCCCCCTTCAACTAGCTAATGACTAGTTTTGAGTCACAAAAAATAAACAGACGTCGTGCACCAAGGTGAAGTGCATTCCGTAGGCCGGTTAACAAGGCCTCGTATTCGGCCTCATTGTTCGACGCATCAAAGCCCAATTTGACAGTTTGCTCAATTATTGTCCCTTCGGGGGTCATGATTACTACGCCTGCCACACTGCCACGTTGGTTGGATGACCCATCATAGTACATCTGCCAAATATCCCCAATGTACATCCTCTAGTTGGGCTTAGGTTGAATTTGATCAAACTTAAAATCGGTAAGGGATCCTGTGAATTCGGCTACAAAGTCGGCGAGCACTTGCCCCTTGATTGAAGTTCTGGGCAGAAATTGGATATCATATTGGCCGAGTTCCAGAGCCCATTTCGAAATGAGCCCTGACGCTTCCACGTTACAGAGCACCGATCGGAGGGAATAATCCGTTAGTATTCCAATGGTATGCCCCTAAAAGTAATGCATCAGTTTTTTTGCAGCCATGACAAAAGCAAGGATGAGTTTTTCCGAAAGAAGATAACGTGTTTCGGCGTCAGCCATTGCTTTGCTCACATAGTAAACTGGCCGCTACTCCCCAAGTTCTTCCTTTAACAGTACGGTCCTGACCGCCCAATCGAACACTACCAGATACAAAATGAGCAGATTGCCAGCCGAAGGTGTTGCCAAGAGTGGTATTGACCAGAGATAAGTCTTCAAGCCGTCTAAAGCAGCCTAGCACTTAGGGGTCTATTCAAACGCTTTACCTTGCCGAAGTGTATGAAAGAATTGTCGATAGCAATTTGTGGAACGGCTAATGAACCTGTTGAGTGCAGCGGCCATTCCCATCAGCTTCTGAACCTCTTTGACCGACCGATGAGAGCCAAGTTCTAGAATTACTGCAATTTAATCCAGGTTGGCTTCGATTCAGCGGTGGTTAACGATGTAGCCCAGGAATTTTCCGGATCTGATGCCGAATGCACATTTGAAGGCATTTAGCCTCATTCTGTATTTTCGAAGAATGTCGAATGTCTCTGCCAAATCGGCTAGATGGGCGTGCTTTTCCTTAGACTTAACCACCATATCGGCGATGTATTCTTCCACAATACGGCCGAGTTGCTCCTTGAACATGGCAGTTATTAGTCTTTGGTAAGTTGCCCATGTATTCTTCAACCCAAAAGGCATAACCTTGTAGCAATAGGTTCCTTTGGGGGTGAGGAATGTGGTTTTTTCCTGGTCCTTTGAATGCATGGCAATTTTATGGTAGCCTCTGTAGGCATCTAGGAAGCTCATGCATTGATGATGTGCCGTTATATCTATGAGTTGGTCTATTCTGGGGAGGGGAAAACAATCATTGGGACAAGCTTTGTTCAAGTCCGTGAAATCCATACAAACACGCCAAGATCCATTCTTTTTCTTTACGACCATAGTATTTGATAGCCATGTAGGATAGGTTACTTCGCTGTCTCTGCCAAATCGGCTAGATGGGCGTGCTTTTCCTTAGACTTAACCACCATATCGGCGATGTATTCTTCCACAATACGGCCGAGTTGCTCCTTGAACATGGCAGTTATTAGTCTTTGGTAAGTTGCCCATGTATTCTTCAACCCAAAAGGCATAACCTTGTAGCAATAGGTTCCTTTGGGGGTGAGGAATGTGGTTTTTTCCTGGTCCTTTGAATGCATGGCAATTTTATGGTAGCCTCTGTAGGCATCCAAGAAGCTCATGCATTGATGATGTGCCGTTATATCTATGAGTTGGTCTATTCTGGGGAGGGGAAAACAATCCTTGGGACAAGCTTTGTTCAAGTCCGTGAAATCCACACAAACACGCCAAGATCCATTCTTCTTCTTTACGACCACAGTATTTGACAGCCATGTAGGATAGGTTACTTCGCGAATTGCCCCGGCATCAAGTAACTGATTGACTTCTTCAACAACGGCAGAAGTATGCTCCGCGGCTGACCGCCGACTTTTTTGAATAATTGGCTTACATTTTGGATCAACGTTTAAGCGGTGCTGGGCCACAGATGGATCCAACCCTGGCAGCTGATATAATGACCATGCAAACACATCGAGGTTGCCGAGTAAGAAGGATACTAGCTCTTGCCATTCAACTTTATTTAGGGAAGCGCCGGATCATGAAGAACTTGTCAGGATTCCCGTCAATTTCAACCCGATCTAGGGCTCCGGTTGCCTTTTCACTTGCGATCTTCCCAATGTCCTCGAGGCTCTCTCGATCCGGCACCTCGATTGAATTCACTTCCAGCTCTCTTGGTCTCTTTGCAGCAAGAAGATAGCATGCCTACGCCGATTTCTGTGAACCTCGAATTTGCTTAATACCGTGCTCAGCCGAAAAACGAAGTAGTTAATGGTAGGTGCTTGGCATAGCTTGCATGGTGTGCAACTAGGTTCTTCCCATGATGAGGTTATATAGCGAAGGAAGCTTGACAACCAGAAATTCTACATCTACTGTTCTGGTGCCCGCCCGAACTGGTAGTGTGATTTTGCCCAAAGAATACTCCGGGTTAGGGTTGAAGCCGAATAACGAATAATCAGCCAGAGACAGATCCAAATCAGTGAAGCCAAGTTTAATAAAGGTTTTATAATACATGACTTCTGAAGTACTTCCTTGGTCAATGAGAACACACTCAATGGTGAATCTGTTTATGCGTAGACTGATGACGAGGGGATCAGTGTGAGGGAGAGTTACTCCAACTAAGTCAGTGTCATCGAAACTAATCGTCGCAATTTCATGAGGCCGTTTTGCTAGCGTGATTGGCTTATGGGGGCTAGACTGCAACTGAATTGTATACACCTCGGATGTCGTCGGCAAGCTGTATATCATATGAATTACACCAAGTAGAGGTGAATCCGGCTGTAAAGTTACTATGTTTGTTAAATTGTTCTTTCGGACGTGTTGCATAAGCCAGCCGTCTTGCATCAACTCCTCCAAGTGATCCTTTAGTGCATAACAACTGTCAGTGTCGTGACCGTGGTCTTTGTGATACTCGCACCGTTTATTCTGTCTCCTCGTATCGAGAGGTCCCATCATCTCGGTTGGCCACTTGAAGAACGGAACGTATTGAATAGGAGTGTACACGGTCCGGATTGGTTCGATTCTGAGAAAATCCAAGAACCGAACCGATCCTAACGGTTCTGTGATTTTGAGAACCAGACCAGACCGTTACACTTGTAAAACCGGACCAGAACCAAACCGAAAAAATGGTTCGGTTTCGGTTTGGTTTACGGTTCCAAAAATTTCTATTTACAAAAACAAATTGTTAATATTAGCAAAATAATTACTCAAACTAATTACATTTAACTCATGATAAAAACTAATAATATTAAGGCATTACTTAATATTACATATCTATATCATCCTAATATCATTAAAATTATAAAAAACCAATTAATAAAAATAAAACTTGATATTATACATATATATATATATATCTTTTAAAATTCGGTTCGGTTCGGTTCGAACCGCGGTTTTTTCATAAAATCCATTAACCGAACCGTTTTTACGGTTCTCATATTTCTTAATCCGAAACCAAACCAATTCTTAATAAAACCGAACCAAACCGTACGATTCGGTTTGGTTCGATCCGGATTACTGGTTTGAACGGATTTTTGAACAGCCCTATACTAAAGGGTTATATGGGATGTTCTAAATAAGTGTGCTTTTTGACTTTTTATTAAATATGAGTTAGGTTTGAAGTGATGTGGTAGAGAGGTGATGTGACTTAAATAGGATAGTGACTTTTTGATTTTTTAACTTTTTTAAGGAATGTCAAATCTAGCCTAAACAGTAAATTATAACATTTTTAAAATCCGATAAGGCCTTTTGTTTATTTGTCTTTTATATTAAACCTACCAATGACATTTCTATTGCTTTGACACGTAGGGCATCATCTTCCACTTTGCAATATTCTTCGACTTTCTTCATTAACGACCAGACTGTTTTGGGGGGCCGTCTGGTTAATGAACTGAGGAGGGGGCTGTCGGGATGCAATCCCATCTTAAAGGTTGTAATGGCCATGAAGCCGTTGAAGGCATCATCCACCAAATTGAAGCATTCCCCATAGCGTGCCGAATATTCACGTAGTGTCTCTTCTGGTTGAATTTGCATTGCCCAGAGAGAATCGGCTTGCTTTGGCTGGACCTCATTAGTGATAAATTTTTCCCGGAAGGATTTTTGGAGTTGGTGGAAGTTCTTAATCGATGCCGACTCCAATTTGTAATACCATCTGACGACCAGTGGTCCCAAACTGCTCGGAAATATTTGACACATGAAGGCTTCATTGTCAGCATAAAGTGTCATAGCTTGTTTATAATGACGAATATGATTAGTGGGGTCCGATTTTCCGTCGTACAGGGTGAATGATGGCACTTTGAACTTCTTGGGTAGCACTACTCTTGCGATTCATTGCACAAAAAGGTCATGCTTGTCTTCCTCATCTGAATCATTTCTCCTCCCTCGCTTATGCCGTGCATATGGACTTCCTTTGGATGAGTTGGAGACATCAACCCGTCCCTTCTTTCTGGATTTCGGGGATGATGAGTCAGAGTCACTGCCACTATCGTATCTCCGAAGCTGATGTCGTCGACCATCCATCTTTCCCGAAGGTTTACCCCAGTCTTGGCACGTAGCCTGTTGAGATTTTGCCACCTCCAGGGCCAAATCCTGTCGGAGGCGCTCGTTCTCAGCAATCATGTTTTCTAACCGCTGTTCGTTTTGTTTAGCTTGATGCATAATCGTTTACATTGTCTCATGCACTGATGTCGAGGGTGAGGTCTGGACTGCTGAGTTGAAGTTCAAGGCCCATCGTGCAGCGATATTCTCTGGCCCAATCTGTTTCTTGGAGTGATGTTATCTCTCGGCATAAGATCATTAGCGACTATCAGAAGATCATCTGTCACGCCCGCCATGGATGTGTTTGAGTATTCCCACAGACGGTGCCAATTGTGGGAACATGGTTTGGAAATACTCTAGTATCCTGTAGGACGCTCTTGATCCTCAGCTTGTCACCTGAAAAAGAATTAACACTTCGGTCGGGGGTGCTGGTAATTGTGGGAATATGGTTTGGAAATACTCTAGTATCCTGTAGGATGCTCCTAATCCTCAGCTTGTCACCTGAAGAAAGAATGAACACTCTGGTCGAGGGTGTCGGTATTAGTACTCCGACGGACAAGTCAATATATACTCTCTCATTTGCTTGTATCACAAGTTAATCGTATCTATTCTCACATACCTCTCTTTGGTTTATGCTCCTCCTATTTATACTCGTCACTAATCTTGGGGGTCGGGCCCACCTTTAATCCAACGTATAGTTGCTTACTCGGCCATTCTGTCATGCCTATTCACACTCGGCTTCTTTTACAGCTGATTCTATGGCCGATTCAGTTATTCAGCTTCAAGATCCCCCCAGGCCGGAGCTGAATAGTATATATGCTGATTTTTCTTTAAATTCACTTGGCTTTCCTACATAAAAATAATATTCAGCTCCCACAAAATTAATTTTAGAAGTAAACTAAGAAAAGATTGAAACATGAAGGGTTAGAGTGAGAAAAAAAATAATCTTTAAAAGCCAAAGTGAAAAAGTAGCCAAACATAAATGTGGCAAAGTGTAATTTATCCGTTTATTTTATTTTTTTTCGTGGCTAAATCTCGTGTTTTATACAAACTTATAAAGGGACAAGGAAAAAGAAAAAAAAAAGAAAAGAAAGGCTAGTAATAGTATATATAAAATTAGTTTTTTTTTTTTAGAGAACCAGGCAAACTTCCAAATATATTACCCATAAGATATGAGTTTTATAGACTTTACCAGTTTGTGCGCTGGCTCCACCAGAAACCTATCCATTTTAGTTATAGACAAAAATTGAAATTGTTTACTTAAAGCCAATACATCCTGGACAACCAAATCAACCTCCCAGTCCGGATTGCTTTGTCGCTCAAAACTATCTACCAATATCTAGCAATCTGTAAAAATCAAGAGGCAACGAATCTGCATCTTGACAACCCATTTAATAGCCTCCAAAAGAGTTCTAGCTTCTGCTAATAAAGGAGAATACAATCGAATAGAGCACTTGTTGAGATACCTGCACTTGAGCTTCATCAAAACAGACCCATACCAGGCCAACTACTTCAATGCTTTGCTTCCATGCTCCATCCACCACACAGGTAAAGAGCTGAAAATCATCAGATAGTATAGAAGTATTAGTAATAACACAACATTTATTTGATGAAGAAACATGTAGCTTGGCATTAGCACATTCAGATACATCATTATCAACTATTGCACTTCCATTGTTCCATTTCCATAGAAGTTCAGTAACCAAGTATAAAGTTTGATCTATTGTCAGTTGCTTATGTTCAAACACCTTAAGATTGCGCTTCCTCCACATAGCCCCCATAATAGCAATAGAATGACTTATAATGTCTTCCTCTTGAACTCTCCTAACCCATCCCTTTCACAATGTTCTAAAGTCAACAGGATGCCCACAAGTAAAATCCAATCCCAAAACAGTACCCCTCCAAACTGTTTGTGACCAAGGACATTCGAAAAAAGCATGCTCTACTGTCTCATTTACATGCTCGCACCTGACACATCTTATATCGACCACCATACCACTTCGTTTAAGTTGCCAACTCACCGAATGAATATTATGAAGACCCTTCCAATTAAATAAAATCCATTTCGAATGTATTTTAGTCTTCCATAACTTTTTCCAAATAAAAGAATCAACCACATTCCCTGTATTAGACTTTTCATATCTTCGCCTAATGGCAACCCAATAACCCAATTTAACCGAATACATACCATTCTTGTTGTGAATACACACCAGCTTGTCAGAGCAAGGAACTAAAGGAATGTGAATACCTAAAATGGATGAGACAACACTTTCAGGAAACGGCCACTGAACTAAATTCCGACGCCAACAATTATTCGAAAAGTCTATCAAATGGTTCACTTGCAATGTAGGAAAATATTGTGATAGCCCAACTCCTCTTACTAGGTTCGCCTAACTGGGAATTCACGAATCCTCAGAAGGATTTATTGATTACCCATTGCCAACCCTCTATATCAGTCATTCCTTCAACAACTCGCTACCCCAAAGAATACTTTTCCATCCCCATAACCGGTGGCAGAACCAAAAAAATTAAATCAGAGAGAGCACTTATTAATTACAATATCGAAAATTTTTACAAAAATATTTCACACAAGTTTTTACGATTGATTTCGAGAAACATCAAAAAAATAATGTTATTTATAATTAGTATATCATAGATAATATGATATATATATATATATGGATATAAGTCTTAAAATAAATTGTATAATTATAAATAAAAAAAATTATACAAAATTTGATTAAAAATTCAATATAATAGTAATACCACGTCATCATTGATATGTGATATCACCAACTAATAGTACATAAACACATAAAGAGTGAACCTCTCATGTCAAATGTAACTAATAATCTAATAAATTTCATATTTTTATTGTGATATTACTTATACTTGCATGTCAATAATTATGACATCACCGTTACATTCAAAAATTTTCATAGATAATATGGTTTATAATAGTCTCTTCATTTTCAATTAAAATAACCATTATCATTCTTATAATTTTTAAATTTCATTAACATTTCACTATAATAATATTTTTGTAATTTTTTTTATTTAAAATATTTTCTTTATGTTTGCAAAATTTAAAAAAAAAAAAATTCCCAAAATCCAAGGAGCGACACATGACCTCCCTGGGCCTTCAGTCCCTCCGCCACTGCCCATGACGCTATCCTATTTCTCCCCAACTTGAAGAAAATTATTACAAAAACTATATTTACCTAAAAGTACTTTAGCAAACAAAGATGTCAGATTAGAAATTAACCACCAAGCTTGTTTTGCTAATAATGCTTGATTGAAAGAACCCAAATCTTTAAAGCCAAGGCCTCCCTCCATCTTAGCTACACACAAACTATCCCATTTTTCCAACACAGCCCTTGTTCTTTATCTGATTTTCGTAAGAAATGACGAATTAT